TTTCTTGCCTCTCACTTTGATGACTATTAAAGCAAATAAGATGATTTCATGTAGTCAAGAATCAGGACATACTAGAAAAAATATCTTTTTGAGTGTATTCATATGGGGAAAATGACTGACTTTTCAAATTTAAATTGTCTTTGCTTTTGAGGGTAAAGATAGGATTGGTACAAAATTTACTTGAGTCTTCAAATGAATAGGAAGACGTCTCATAGTTTAATAGTGCAAATAAAAGACAAAATTTGAATGTTGAGATCAGACGTCTGTACACGGGGCTGTGAGAAGTGCTAGGGAAATGTGAAAATACTTTCAATTTGGCTTAGCTTTGAAATTAACTTCTTAATCTGCTAGCATGAGTTAAGCACTTGTGGGACAGCTTTATACCTCCTACTCAGAGCTCTCAGGGACAGCTCCCCTGTCACCTCCACTTGTCCCTATGTTTCCTGTGTGTAGTGTTGGCAGACAGTAGAGAAGAGTTCAACTAATCTTGCACTATCCCAGTTAAAGTAATCAGTAGCTACCGTGATTTCTTTGTACCTGTGGAGCACTGCTGAGACATAATAGCTCCAATAGTCAGATGTCTTTCTTAAAAATACACATCTCAAAATTCTTTTCTACTGACATGATGTTCTTTAAGAACTTCACATCAGATCTCAATATTTGTTATCCAAAGGTTGACAGCATTCTGTAAAATATGTGGTAAAAAGCAACAGGAGGAGAGAAACATTTTTTTTTTTTAATACTGGATAATTTATTTCTGATAGACAATTTTCTGTACTATCAGAGTATTCAGCATTTTTAGATTTGTTGCAGAAGAAGCACACGCTTTGTGTAGCTTTGGATGAAAAAACAAACATCCTCAGAAGGCTGTCTACATGTGGCTTAGTCCACATTGCTTGAAGGTTGCTCTAAGAAACTATTGTGCCATGACTAGTGCAGAAACACCTGATACTTTCCAGTACCAAGCACTATGGGAGTGATAAAACTAACTTATGTTTCTTTCCATTATTATGATTTTTTTTAATGTTCTATTCTTCTGTAGGAAGAGCTGGGGTACCTTTTCTTGGTTACATCGTACCTCATGGTGTAAGCATGTCTTGCATTATTTTTCTCAGTCTTCCCATAATTTCATTCTGTGTGTCTAAGTAACTTAATCTGTCTCTGTCTCTTACTTTGGTTCCTGATGTGCAAACTTGAGATAGTAGAAATTCATAATATCATCAAGTTCTTGTGAGGTAGACTCCATGGCTGTGGTGACGTTTTATGACATGGTGACAAGTGCTGTAGGAATGTCTATGTTTTGTGATTCGTTTGTGATGCCTGCACTTTGATGCATTTGTAGCATTTCTCTATTCACCATTGTACAATTTAATGATGATATTTTTCTACTCCTTCTACTGTAATATGTACCATAAATCTGTCTGAAAGTAGACATTGTCTTTCTTATGGCATTTGTACTGAGAATCCTGCTCCATCCTAGTGGTAGAAGGATACTTCAGGAGTTGAAATGCGGGCAAGGATGAGCTCTGTCTCTGTCCCATGTGTTCAGACATACCCATTCTTGAGGGTCTCCTTTGAATGCCAGTGTAACTTAATTTTTCATATGTTTCAATAGAGATTCCAATGCTCTCTGGCAATTAGTCTCTGTTTTCAAGTTGTAGTTATCAAGGTGGTAAAGATTTTTAAAACCTCCAGTAAATGTCACAAAATATTTATTTTTGCAAAAAGAAACTCTTGTTTCTCTCTGTTCCATCATACAGTGAGATTTTTTAGCCTCTCTCTAGGACTTGTAGAATATTTATAGCCTTGAAAATATAAGCACCATTTGGGGGTCTTTTGATATGCTGTTGCCTGTTTTGCCTATCTGTAAATAGTTTGCTATTGTGTAAGTAATTGTGCATGTAAATAGGTAGCACACAATATTGTGTAATTGTAATCAAATTCAGAAATCAAAATGAGAATAATTTTATTTTAAATATGAAAGAATTATTTTAAGTGTGTTCATAGGAAACTTAATCCATATCCATATGTATGTGTTTGCAGGAAATAAATTATGCTTTTCACAACGTAGTAGTAGTTGTTAATTCATAGGAATTCTGCATTTCTGCATTACAGCTGTATGTTTTCTAACAGAAGCAGAACTATCTTTCTTATACTTGCAACTTCAAAATGTAGGTCATTGTGTTGGCGAATGTAGGTCAGAGTGAGGAGGAAGAAGACAGAATGCAAACTCCTCCACATGGATCTTTAAGCTTATCCCTGTTTTGAAGGTAAAGAGGCTTACCTACCTGTTCAGGCACGTGAAGCTTTTCCTTTCACTAAAATTAACACTGATATCCTGGCTTCTGGCTTCTTGGCTTAGCTGGGAGCACCGTGTGCTTCCACGCTTGTGACTTGTTCATGAAAGGCCTCCTGACTCCTGCTTCTTTAGCTTCCAGATGCTTGTACCATTGCTGAGGTGACTCTTCCTTCCCTGTGGGGGAAGGCAGTGGGAAGGAGCTGTGCTCATTGCTGGTGTGTGCCTAAAGAAAAGCATTGTCCTTGCAAAGGTGCTTCACCCTTCTCTCAGCACAGAGCTATCTGATACACCTGCAGTTCCAGCCGATATCAACATTGAAATGGCAGCAGGGGAAGGAACAGTGACCCCTCAGAAAAGATTCAGTGACACCATTCAAAGTGCCCTCTCAATAATAACTGCAGAAAAGTGAGAGACATTTGACTGAGGGTACTGAAAAGTCAGATGTTGAAGGATGTTTGCTACATTTTTAAAATTCACACAGGCTAGAAGTTTGCTATAAAAGTGTTTCAGTTTTTTATGTTTGTGGGTGTGAGGATTTTTGTAATGTGAGATGCAAGTATTATAAACGGTGTTAAATTAGCTGTGTCTTCACTAAATATTAAAAAAACTTTTATTGCTTGAGTATACACCAGTCACTGCAAACTGAAATATTCTTTATGTTACACACTAAAATATTTAAACAGTCATTATATTTATTGCAAAATCTGTCATTTTAGCATATTTCAGTGCTCAAAAGCATTGAAATGCTCAAAGGGAGATGAAAAACCCTGTACAATTCATAGTGTATGTTTCACTAAAGAATGGGTAGTCTTGTGTGAATATTTTATTTTAACCCTTAGCAAGTCTAAGCAAAATAGCACATTCAAAAACACCTGATCGCACTGAACTGTCATAAACAGGACACATACAAGTATTGCATTAGTAGTTTTGTCATACATGTGTATCATCAGTCTAATTTTTTCCCTTTAAATATCTTCTTAATACAAAAGTTATATGTAAAGTTTTGGACAAATCCTGTCTTGGCTTTTGCTTGATCCGCATGCAGTTAAGACGTTGTTAAATTTTCCTTATTTCTCACTAGGAGTAAGGGTAGTTCAGAATACTTACTGGACAGAAAGGACTAATTATATTGATGATGGTTTCAGTTAGGCTTTAAGTGATTTAAAGGATGACAGTTTGTCTCCCAAACTCCTGGTTCTGTTAAAAATGTAGTGATGTTTTTAGCCTTGAGAACAAAATATGGTAAAAATGGCCTAAAGGATACACATACATAGTAAGCTGCATGGAATTCAACTTACTTGTCTAGAAATATCTAAAAGATGCTCAATATGTCAAATAAGTTTACTGGAACTGTTGAAATGTCTGTAGTTCATAATATGAAGTTTTTGTCTCAATTCTCAGTGTTGTGTGTTGGTGGAGGGGGCAAGTAAACTCTGGATTTTACCTGCGGACAGCATGTAAACATGGTTTTTCATTGCTAAGCAACCACAGATGAAAAACACATACAACCATAATTCAGCTGCATATGCCTTTGATTCTTCCTCCTTTAACTTTGGGAACCTTTGCAGACACAACTCAAGTTCCTGAGTCTGGTTTCCTCGGGCCCCCTCCAGCAATGAAGTCTGGTGCCTGCAGGAGAGCATTCAAGGCACACAGGATCTGTGCTGCCCTCTCCACGGGCCACAGCACTTCAGCTGGACATTCCAGTCAGGTGGGAAACTGGTCTGACAAAACAGCCAGTTTCATGAGAGACTGGTTTTGAAGAAATAAATGTACATGGAAGCCTCCAAGTAGTTGTCAATGTTGATGATGACCAGTAAGTTTTATGATGGAAGCTAATTAATTAATTAATAATACAGATTAGGTGCAGAAAGGTGATTGCTCCTGGCTATTTCTGTAGGAGAACTAGGGGAATTCAAATGAAAATGGCAGGGAAGCAAGTATAAAATGAGAGAGGAGGGGTTTCCTTATACAGCAGGGTGAAACTGTGGTGCTTCCTGGTGCAGCTCTAGAAAGTTTATCACAGAACAACCAGAACAATCCTTCAGTGCCTGTTAAGACGAACTTAGCACTTGTATTTCCTGTTCTCCTTCTTCTGAATTTCTTGAGCCACAACTAGAAATCACACTTTTCTTGCCCTAGTCCTGGATTTGTCCTTAGCCTGTGCTGCTTTCAGTCAGACTGATGCCTGACCTAACACAAACTAAGAGAAAAGGAGCTAAATAAAAAGAAACTGGAAAGAAATGGAGTGACTGTAGGATGGTTATGATGATGGTGATGATGATGTAGCTAATGAAAAACTAGAGGGCTCCTGTCCCCTGTTGTAAATAGGCTACAAGGCAAAGTTGGCCTTTCATCTGGCCTGGCAAAAACAGGTTGATGTTCATGTGAATGCCCGAGTGAATTAAATTTTATATGACTTTTAAAGACTTGAGTATTGCATAAATATATGTAGATATATGTGTATCTTTATGTGTGTGTGCATGTATCTAAAAATTTCTGATCATTAGTTGTGATGAAATCTATGAAATACTCAATTCCAATGCTTAAATCCTAGGTCTTCTTTTTTTTTTCTTTTTATTTATGGCAAATATAGAAAATAAAGCAGGGGGTAGAGCTCTGCAAATGGTAATATGCATTCAAATATTATTTTAGACCAAAAAAAATCTGTTCTAAGAAGGCAAATATCTTTGTTTTATAGGTCTCTGGCCATCTGAAGAAGTGCTGGCTTACTACTGCCTAAAGCATAATGAAATATTCAGGTACAGAGTTAAACATAAAAAGATATTTTCAAATCCCTAGTTTTATTGTATCTGCATGGTAAAGATTGCTATGATTTAAGTCTTCAGATTAAATTTAAAATGTTCAAGGTGAAAGCATGTTGCTCTTAACAAAGAATTCTCAGCTGCCTTTGGGTACTAATATTGCACAGCAAGCTTTCTGCTATATGTCAAAGACTTTTGATTTCCACTCAAGGCATTTTATTTCACTTTGATTTTTGGGAAACAAAAGTGAAGCTCCAATCGATCAGTGCTGATTGTGAAGGTCAGGAAAAATAAGATATTCTTTAAACTGACATCTGTTGCAAAAGCAAGCAAAATATTATCTGATGAAATACATAAAAATCACTGCTTATAGTAAGAGGAATTTGCACCCATTTTTAAGTGTTGTGAAACAGTTTTGAATCATCCTTCACTTTTATTCAAAACTTGTAGAAGTCAGCTATCAAGGCTCCAATAGGAACATCTAAATATAAAATCCGTCCTGCATCCACTTTCCTTCCCCCTGACTATACTGAGATTTGCACTTGGAAATCCTTGAAGTTTCATTGTCTGGGGGATGAATAGGGTGCAAAAAAAGCTATTATAACAATGTATTTGGAGGCAAAAATTCTGTTCTGTGTGAGGGTGTAAGGCAAGTACCAAGTAAACCAGACTTGGATAGAAATCCCAGTCTGTGTAAATATGGCATTGGGTAAAATCAGGAAGACAAATTGTAAGTCTCTGCCCCTTGTACCAAATGAGCAACTTGCTTAGACTCCGATCTGTAGTCAAAGACTGTCGGGTTTGTTGTTGCTGCAATGGCTTCCGAGGTATTTAAAAGTCCTTTTTCCCAGCCCCTCGCTCAAAGAAGAAGTCGGGATTTTCAGCTTTGGTTTTCAAGGTTGTTTATTTTCTCTTATCTAATACATTCTTTTTCGGACCTGTGGAGGTCTGTCCAGCAGGTCGGGTTGAGGCACTGAGCGCCCTCAGGGCACTGTTACCTTTTTATACTAAAAACTACGTGTACTTCATTTACTACAATTTTCCAATACTTATCACCTATGTTAGACAGTCTGTCTCTATCCTAAACCAATCCAAAAGTGCCACCATCACAGTAGAAGATGGAGGACCAGAAGAAGGAGAAGGACAGGACACGCCCAGATTCCTCCATTTTGCCTCTTGAACCCCCATTCTAAAAACCCCAAAATTCTACTTTTTCACCCTGTGATAAATTTACTATCATTCTATTCAAACCCTTGTGGCTTGCAACTCCTCGCACAAAGTTGGTAATTGTTTCCATGGGCAAAAATTGAACTCACAGTGTCTTTGACTCAATGCCCTGGTCTCTGAGCCCCCTGCCAGGGTCTCGAGTCCTCCAGAGCAGTCAGAGCAATGTCCTGGGTTCTGACAAAAGACCTGGCACCAAAGTGTGCCGTGGTCCATAAAGCCTCATTCCTGCTCCATCCACCACCTGAACAAGTGTGGCCCATTAGGGCAGGCAGCTCATACACCTGATGTGGCAGCCGCTACTCCTTCCTCCCAGGTTGGTTGTGTGCCTCCTGCTGCTGTAGGGATGTCCCTGTAGCACTTTGCTGTCTGGCCCCATGCTCATATGTTCTACTTCTTCTGCAGGGCTCCTCACAGCAAACCTCCTGTGCTGCTCACTCAGAGGGTATTTTCCCAGTTTGGGTATGCAAGCTGCGATATTCAGAGACAACTAGCAGTCAACTTCCACAGAGTAAATGGGCAGTTTCACATCCTAATTTCTCAGGATTATGCCCTTCTGACAGTACTCTCAGAGTAGAATTTCTTATGTGAATTCTCATTTATAAATGTCACTATATATTGCCTGAGAGACAGATAAAACTTTTAAAACTTGCTAGTAAGGGAATTGGCACTGAAATAAATTTCATATGCATAAATATTTGCGTGTATATGTGAATGCTCATTTATTTTGTATATAGAAATTTGTTCAAAATGCACTAAAAGCCTTACACTGGATACTTTCTGTGTTTATTTCAGTAAGTATGATTCTTATAAAGGAGTAAGTGCCTTATAAACCTTATATATAGCCATGTGTTTATAGTTTTAATATATAATACACTAGTTTTAGAAAAACTAAAACTTATTTGAGGAAAAACCTATAATCATTCTGTCTAAAAATACAAATTGCAGATTTCCCTTTTTTTTTTTTAATATTATTACTGGGTTTATGTACAGCTTGTTCCTCCAAGGTATGTCTTTCTTTTGTCTCATTTTGATTAAATAGGGCAACTAGACTTTTTTCAAATAAAATTTGTGGTGTCTAAGAAAAATAAATCTAACCCATCCAGACAGTGAGCATTATTATACAGTCATACAGCCTAGTCTGCTCGCCTCAGTGAGCAAAATATCAGCATCTTTATACTGATACTGATATGGCATCCTAGATGCTCTTCCTAAATATCAGTGTTGAGTGAGTAGGGAGGTGACCCTTTCACATAAAAATAGATTTCCAGATGTTAATGTTTTAAGGGAGAAGAAATGGTGCACCAAAAAAAAGCAACCAAGAAACCCTCCAAAACCAAACTGAACCAAACAGTTTAGCTAAAATTCCATTTTCTGCCTGTCAGAAGTGTCTCAATGGGAATGCTCCTGCCAGCTGTAACAGTTGCCACAGATTTTGCTATAAAGCAGCATGTTCCTAGGCTGAGGCTCTGCCTTGCCCCAGACACTGCTTCACACACAGTTTCGGTGCAGGGTCAGCGTCCCTCCCTCCTCCCCTCCTGGGGCATGCCATGGCTCTGGAGGACATTCTTTATGGCTCCCCCTGCAAGCTCCCATCCGGCACACTCTCTGCACCAAATTATATTTCACATGCACGTCTTAATAACAGCACAGTATGGTCTAAGTTAAAAGCAGCCTTTTAGACCATGTATTCAGCCCTTTGATCGGGCTCAGTTTAGGCTCTTGACACTAACTTCGTTTCGTTTTCTGAGGCTTAACCGTTTGCCGTTCCCATCGTTGTTCATAACAGCATTGTTTGTAGGTCACTTGCAGTTTTAAGTGCTAATTGAAGGATCAGATTTCTTCGTGTGTAATTATTCTGTGGTATACGGCTTGCTTTAAAACTTCTCTCTTTTTAATATAAAAAGGCTTTTAGGCATAACTGTATGGAGAGATATATAAATAATATTAATTTCCCCATTTACTTCTCTAGCTGTTTTTGCAAGAATGAATGTGGATTAACATTGTTATCCTTTCCTAACAATTATCTTTCGCTACTCTAGCTAGTTTAGTTCTAAAAGACAGAGCCATTGACAAGGGAAAAAAGGGAACCTTCTCAGATTTTTCAGCTCAGCGGTGGTAATGTTGCACTGAACACTAATGAGGGAACCCCCACTGATTTGCCTGCTTTGTGACTTTTCTATTTCATAATTATTTTTAAAACGCAAAACGACATGAGGTAGCCTAGTCATGTCTCTACAACTTCCTGGTAGCTCAGTTCTTACTGCAGATGGCAATTTGTTCTTGTAACATATATGTCTCTCTGACCATTTTCATCTAATTTGTATGGGTTCTACCATTTCCTTTCTCTCTTTCAGGGACCTTGCTGTGTGTGAGCTAGGGGGTGGCATGACATGCTTGGCTGGGCTCATGGTAGGTCTTTTCTCAATTCCAATCCCATTCAGAGGAAGAAACAAAAGGAAAAATGTTCCAGTGCCTCCAACTGCTGGGTCAGAGAACTGTCAACAGCCTCAGCTGCGGTCAAGCTGCAGAGTCTTGAGAGACCTTCTAGATTGACTTGCTTTCGTATCATATTGATTTTATGGTTGCCTTGATGAGCAGAAACATTTTACCTCGGTGTAGTCAATATCTTTTGTTGTGACATTCCAGGCCACGTACTGTCTGTCTTTCATTGCCATAGCCGAAGCTTTTTTTTTTTTCAGATTATAGTCCCATTTGCTAAGATACAGGAATAGCCTGGCGAATCACAGTTGGAGCACCATGATATAGCTGCTAATGTTTTGCCTGCATTATTACACCAACAAACATGATCCAGAGCTCTCGGTAATTAGATTCTTTTGAATTAGATTGGCCATTCAGGAGAGTCGTTCACCATTCTCTGGGTTCTGAGTCATGTATTCAGGAGATATTATGTAGCAGTGCAGTGCATTAGACAAGTTTTTATGTCTCTACAAATAAAAGCATATTGTTACACTGATTGGCATTTGACAAACCTGTCGCTCTTATACAATGTGTCGAGGTTACAGCCCAATGTGCGAGCATGTCAAAGCTCACAAAAAAATTACCCTTACAAAGCCATCTGCCTGCAATGCAAAGTTATATGAAGGGCATCAGGCAGTCAGACAGAAGCAAGCTGAAAGGCAGAGTGACAGCCTTGTATGATGGCTCTACTAGATAAACAGAAGCCCGCAAATGAAAGCCTCTCAGAATACCATCATCGGCTGTCACAATGCAATTACGGAACAGAATGATAGCAAGATAGAGGCTCCCGCAAATGGAATGATAAAAGTATTGACTGATTTGATTGAATGATTAAAATAATGCAGACATAAAATGAAAAAAGATTGAAGATTGTTACAGAGAAATAGGTGAGGAAGCATGATACTGAAGGCTTGTCACTCCTGTCTTCACTTCCACATAGACAAGCATATTTGCTCATTGTTTGCTGTGCTCTTTTTTTCAGGTTGCTATTTCTGCAGATGTCAAAGAAGTTCTGTTAACTGATGGAAATGAAAAGGCCATCAAAAGTATCCTTATTCAGATAGAAAACTGGTTTGTTGTGCTCGTTCCTTTTTACTGGCTGAGTAACAATCGATATAAAGACAGACAGCATGGGGCATATTAAGAAAAAGTCCCCACATAAGTAATTAAAAAACAGATGTGGAATATCTTGAACGGAGCAGCAGCTTCCCCCATAATAAATGCCACATTTTCTCTGTTAATTAAAAATGCACATGTTGGTATAGAGCATGTACTGTAGTAAATATTTGCCCCGTGGTTGAGTGCTGGAAGATTCATGTGCATATGCTGCACATTACAGGAGGTGTAGCAGGGAATCAAATCATCAGCTTCCCTCCATGTATGCGTTTTGCATAAGGGCTAGATTTTTTTTTCCTACTTTCAGATACTAGCCCCTTAAAACATATTCAGCATTCATATATTTTCAGAGCTTTTCCAGCGTATGTTAAAATGTTTCATTGTCGGTGCTAAGTTATAACTGCCTACAAATTGCCCATTTAGTCTGCTTAATCAATTACCAATTTATCATTATTTCTCTTGATGTAAGATTGCAAAACTCCTCTGTCCCTTGTAGAAAGTATTTTATTGTATTTCTTATATTAGAATAAATTGCTATTATGCTCTTCTAATATGAACAGATAGTTCATAAAATTGAACTGGACTTAGGTTAAGCAAGAGAATGAGTGAGCATAATTTGTGGCCACATTAAATATCAGCACAGAACAAGAACAGATATATACGGTGAATACTAATAGCCCTTAGAAATTGAGAGGAAAAAAAGGAAGATATCTATTTGCTTTTGTTCCTTGATAATCTTTCCATTTACATTTTCAAGCAGGCTAATTTTTCAGGTTTTGGCCACTGCAGCATCAGAATTATTTCTTTTTGATATTTGTATATATTTGAGAGCTAATGTACTGAGTACTTAGTAAAAAAAATAACTTAAACTAATCTGTAGCTTAAATGAATTGCAGTTGCTGATGCCTGTTAAAACAGGAGACATTTCAGTGCAATAATATTAGCTACTACCTTTAAAAAAACTTTCTCAGAGGTAACTGAGGTAACTATAACTGCTGACAACACTTGAACAATTTCATGTTAAAAACAGTCAATCCTAGATCATATCTGTTAAAACTTGAGGTAAGCCTGCGAAAAGTCTCTTTTTTCTTGAAAAGGCAAGTTCTCACCTGTTTTCCAGGGATTATTATTTTGTTAAATTCTAATATGTTAGACTGGTGTCTTAAGGAGGAAGTTTTCATTATTCTGTGTATTTTAATCAGCACCACAATCTTTCTTCCATGTCATTATGAAGATAAAAAATGTAGGAGAAAAGAAGTGTTTCAAAACTAGTCCAACAAAACAAACTCATGTTGTATAGATATTTAACAAAAGGTCGTTTTACCCACAAAAAGCTTCAGGTGAGCTCAGTAATCATCAAGTCAGCAAATGTCTTGCATAGCGGATTCCATAAACATACCTGAACTTTTTTGAAATTTAGAAGTCTTTTATAACATGAAAAATTGGCAAGTGTAAAAATATCCACTCAGTCCTTGGAATTAAGCAAATAAAAGTGCTTTTATTCCTGAAAAAGATACTGTTAATATTATCTAATTATCACACCTTAGTTTTTCACAATATGTTTCAGAAATGTCTTCTGTTCCCAAAAGTCTCACAAGAGGTCTTCATCTGTATTCACTCAGTGAATCCCTTTCAGGGAAGTGATTGGTGGAAGGCTCTAACAGGAATTTATTTTTCTTTTTTAACATTTGGTGCTCAGAAGGCTCAGCATTCAAAGTGCTTTTATTGTGTTGGATTTTACAATGGGCTTAATATTAGCAGGGTGCCAAAGTGCAGCAGGCTAAGAACTTTACTGTGTAGGTGAAATGTATTCTTAAAAGTGCACATAATAAAATTTCTGTTGCATTTTATATGGTTTATGGACTTCAGTAGTAATTTTATGATCTGTCTTACGGTAATTTCTTTTGCACTCTTTTCTATAGTGACTGACTGTAATAGAAGTTTAAGCTAAATTTAGATCTGTTTCAGCCTGACCAGACTCACTGAAATCAGGGTAGAATTTTAGGTGTAATTGGAAGTAGCATTCACCCCAAGTGCCACTGGCTACAAATTATGTATTTTTGCTAGTTCTTATTATTGCTGATGGTATTTTTTTGATTGTTTAGCATACCAAATTAAAGTAATGTGGGATAAAATACTGTTTTCTTTTCTAGATTCTGCTCTTCAGGAATAGTTAATGTCTAGTATTATGGTTTTTATGTACGTATTATAGATTAAAATAATCTTGTTTTAAAATTACTGTTTACATCTTCCCTTTAAATTTCTTAGGAAGCTTAAATTACATGCCAGTCATACTATAATATCCAAAAATTACTTTCCAAAAAGTAAAAGTGGTTGTCAACAAAAAAGAAAAAAATCCCTGTCAGAAGCCAGGAAATCACCAAGCAAGCCTGCTAATTATTCTTAATGGGCAAGATGAGCACATTAAGAAACAAATGAATACATCAGTGAAATGTAATTGAAAATCGACCTGGCAATAGTGCATTGCATCTGAGAATCTGCCTTTGTATTATCAACATCATCATAATTATTGTTGTTTTTGTTGTTGCTATCACTATTCAGTGAGCATAACTAACAGCTTTGCTTTGTGAATCTCAAGCTTTTGACGATTTGATTTTTCATTTGATTTTTGACATGCTTCCTATTAGTCTCCATTTCATACTGCCACATGGAGTATTCACTATGTATGTTTTCAATATCCATATTAGGATACGTTATTGAAATGTTAGAAATTTAAAAATTTTAACAAATAAATTAAATAATTGTTGCCATTCTAACCCTCTCATTGTGAAATGTGTTGCTATATTTTGTATCAGTCAATGATCTTATGTATGATGTTTATGGAGGTTTTTAAAAGGATGCTATGACTTGAGTTGCTAGACCATTTCAAAGACTTCACTCTAACTCCTTTTGCTTATCATGAGCAGGGTTGAATTGATTCAATAGATCGTTTATATTGCAAAATCAATAAAATAAAGATAGGTGTTACTCCTTTTGCCACTTTGTTCAGAACTTTATTGCTAATTTAGTGTGTTTTATCTAAGTTCTTTCAGTATCATTTAAATAAGGAAAGTTTTAGGATTAAAACTATAGACATTTCAAGTGATAATAGAGATATACATGGGCAGAGTTATCAGATTCATCCCCTGTTGTAATTTTGGATGATATGCATTCAGATAGAAACTTTCAACTTACATCTGTGACATAAGTCAGTCATGAACACCAAATTTTATTTTCTCAAAACACTGGAAGCATGTTTAGCACTTTGACATTTCCAAATCCAAGGATGAGGTTCATTTTAGTAAAAATTGTCTCCTATTTCAGAGAGGCTGGGTGCTTTCTGCCTTAGCTCTATTTCACACCATGCACTGGTGACTTGAACTACTGTCTGAAAGCATCAATAGTACAAAACATTGTTACAGTGCACTATAATGGCCATTAAAATAGAGTGTATGGATCTTTCAACAGTCCAGGGAAACTTAGGTTAGAAGGGTCATGTTTAGCCTGAATGCCTGAAAATATGGGCTCCTAAATTATTTTTTAAATCTAGTATTAACATGTTTATAGCCATTATTAATAGTTTTGCTCAGTTATATAATTTAGGTGCAGTGTAGCTAATTTATCAACAATGTTATTTCTGCCCCTCTTTAAAAGTAGTATGGTCTGCTCATGGAGCTATTTATGCCTTCCTTTTGCTGCCCAGGTGTAGACCAGTCATTTACTACTCCTCATTACATATTGTGGAAACTATTTAAAAGGCACATCCAAACTACAGAGATTTGTTTAAACCAGTTTTCTGTCATCTCATTTCTAGTTTTTACTTCACAAAATACCAGTTGTCTTTTCCAGTGTTTGGATAGAGACTTTGCTGAAATAACTTTTCTTAAGTAACCAGTTCTATTAGGAAGGAAAATGATGTGATTTCAGCAAAGCAAAGAAAAGGATATATCAAAGCAAAGAAAAAGGTATATCAACAATATTTCAAATTAGCCTGACTCTTGTATTCAATTTTCTTATAAGAGCACTTTAAAGAGATCTGACATATTTTGTGGACCTAGAAACATCCATCTAATTAGCATCAGATTTCCTATACCTTAAATAAAAAAGAAGGATCTTTTACATCTTTACCAAAATTGTCCATTTAAAATAATTATTTACATTTGAAAGTGAACCATTCAGGAATGCATGGATTCACACTGGATAATAATTCATATTCTCAGAATTTTCTCTTACTTGCTACACCTTTTCCTTCCAGTGGCTTCTCACTAACCACATGTGATCAATCATGACAGTTGTCTTTCTAGCCATAGATGACAGGGCACAGCTTCCCTTGAAAGTTTTCCTTGCTTTAACCTGCCTGAATGGCTACCCAAATTTGTGACATGAACTTCCAAACTACAAGAAGCTGAGACACAAGGCTGAGGTACTGTAGTGCTATTTAAGGCACTTATTGCTTTCCACTCTTTAAAGGTGGTTCCTGACCATTCTCAAGAAAGCAAATGGACTAGAGACTCCTTTGCCTAGAGGTTAAGGTGCTCCTGTTGTGTGTTGGATTCACCCAGACAGAGCCAAGAACATAGGTGTATCTCTTGTGGATAGGGTCTTAAAACACACAAGCCTCCAAAATCTCAGCATTAGGTATAGTGATAACACTGAAAAGTGGAAAACAGCACAAACTAGAGTGGACATTTAGTGGTTGTAAAAATTTCGGTTCTCCATGGTTGTAATTCTTATATTTGTAAATAGTTGCATTTAAATATCTGAGGTATGGGACATCTTTTTTCACTTCCCTCTATTGCTACAGGGCTAGAAATTCCTTAAATGAAAGAGTAAATAGAAGTAGGAAACTAGAGCAAATTGCTGCCTAGATCTATGGCTGATGTGCTGGAGTAGCAATATAAAATGTATGCTTCTGAATAAAAATTGACTCTTAGCACAGATTAAAGAAGAACAAACAGATAAGAATATTATGAAGGCATTATAAATGGAAAATAGTTGGGTTTATTATTTTTATTATCGCTCTAGTTTTGTAGATAATTCTTTGTAGATAATTCTTAACAATTGTACTGCAGATGTAAATGAGATCATCACAAGAAACCAAAATGCTGGAGTATTTAAGGCTCAGAAGGTTTCAAGCTGGTAAGATTGTACTTTTTTTACTGATTCTTGCATGTACTTCTGTATTAATATAGATGTGAAATGTATGCAAATGTGTGAAAGTGTATTAATATAGATGTGAAATGTATGCACACATGTGACCTGTGTTACTGATACTCACACAGGTCTGTGTATGTAAGTAGGTAAGTGATGCAAGAAAGAAATTTAAAAGTATTTTTAAAAAATAGCAAATACAGTATGATTAACCTTGGTGACAAACCCTCTCTTTCCTTTTTATCTTTTTTTAAATTTACACTGTGTCTCTTCAGTGTATGATTTAGTGCATGGTTGAAATTTGTCTGCTTCAAAGTCAACACTACCTGTTGTACTGAAAATGAGATTTGGAATGAATGTATCTAAATCTCTGTCAGATTTCATTTTAAATAGCTCTGAAAATTTAGGGTGACAACAAATCCCATTTGCCCCTGAGTTGGATGTTGTTGGAACATCCATGGGAGGTTTTTTGGTCATCCTGTTTGTGTGATCATTATGTTGTCACTGCGAAGACAGATGGGGAGATGGGAACCAAGAACAGTGTATTCATCTCTCACTGTACTTTAAAAGTAAATTATAAAGCATTTCATATTTGTGGTATAAGGTTAAGAATTAGAAAATGGTTACCTAAGAGCAAATAGTCCACTGTTATTTGTGTATTTAATTTTTTTTTTTGATGACTCACATTGCAGAGGAGCACTCAGTCCTTCTAAAACTGGCAAAAGTAAAGCTGAAAAAGGGCTGAGGAGGGTAAAGTGTTAAAGCAGAATAAGCTTACTTACATAGAGGGTTAAACCTGTATGGTTTTAATGGCTATCATTCATGTCATTTAATCCTATGCCTATGTAGCCATTCTATGTAGGGAAGTTAGTTCAAGTGAGCACTTAGGGCTAGAAAAATTCTGCCTTCATTAGGGTGTGTGTGCATATAAGTTAGAGATACATCTCTGCATCCTAATAAGAGCCTGCCAAGTAGAGAGAGGCCATGTGGATCCCAGGAATGGTGTTTCAGGTTCCATGTGCTGAACACCTCTTGCAAGCAGCCTCAGACACTCTGCTGAGGAGAGGCTGTATGGTATGTCCATCCAGAAGCTCAGATTTTTTTTTTTAGATTTCCAATTGTTCTATACGTTGTGTGAGATTTCAGATTTCATCCCTTGTCAAGACTTCAAACCTGGTCTTTTAGATATCAATCAAAAGCACATTTTCTACCCTGTCCTCATTTACATTTATCTAATGCTTAAGGTCATTTGTGATCATTTGAGTGTATTTCAGCATATGGAATCAGTGAATAATAGATTTCAGCCTCACGCTGTGAAGAAAGATTGTGTTTTCACAAGACATGATGTTGTTTACTGGGTGTTAATAATCACTAATTAATAAACATATCTAGGCATCATAAAATGTTGCATTTTAAAGACTAAAAATGTCAAGTGTTTAACTTCTTGAGTGCAATAGCGTTTGAGGCATTATTTGCATAAATAAAATAATTAAATAACAAAGTACTATATTAAAACATAAGACTCATTATAACACTTGATTTTTAATTCTACATTCTTAAGGGTTTTGCAGATTTGTTGTACAAGTATAAAGTTTTATAAAATGGCTATTCAAATGACTCTTTAATGGATTGATCAGTCCTTCAGATTCAGTAATGACGTGGTGCAGTAACAAAGTTATATGATCCCTTCTTAATCCCTTGAGGGAACTAAAAGGCTGATGTAAAGTCTGAAGTAACCTCAGAAAGTGTAGTGTTTTGGATAGAAGAATGCAACACTGGCATGCAAAGTGACATTCAGTAACTTCTTTTACATTGATCATGCAAATGAATATAGTGATGTCTGTAAGTGACTTACTGAGCATCAATTTAATCTGGAGAAGGCATCTTCTTTCTTATAATCATTTAGACAGCGTCCAGTCTTGCAACTTCACAGTGGCCAGTGCAAAGTTAAAAGATTCCTTCTGTATAAAAGATGATTCAGAATAGACTCTTCTCACAGCACCTTCAACTTATGTTAGGATCTTGCACTCTCTTCCTGGCACAGGAACAGAAATTATCAGTATGAGAGCAGTTTGAGACTGTTCTGGATATTTAAGTCTATGCCTGGAAAGTATGCCAAAACCTGCATGGAGCAAAAAGGAACAATCTGGTATCAGCCAAGAGAAGTTAGATTAAGACAAGCTGCCATACATTTATTTATTTAGATTTATACAAAATGCAGTAAATGAGCACTTATCTAGCCCTCTGCCAAGTCTTGATTATTGTTTAAAAATACGGTAATGTAAGCCAAAGTGGCAGTTTGTTATATTGTGTGTTATAAGGTAATAATAGTAAAGAGTTTACTTTGCGGTGGATATACAATTCTATTTTATTTTTATTTTTCATTTATATGCTCAGGATTTCTTGCTTATGTTTACTAGAAATAGGTACAGTAATACCAAGTTACTAGTAATGTCTGGCCATAGTGAAGGGTATTAATACTGTGTATGGGTTCAACAATTTTATTTTTTTTACAATTCAGAAATTATCCATGAATTGCATTGTTTACCCTATAACTTAGCATACGTTTCTTTGTACCATCAGCTGTTACTGGTTTGACATGTTTTATCATTGACATGGTTTATCATTGTTTTAACATGTCCACCAATGATTAAATTAACAACAAAGTCAAGAAATCCCTACTTCTTGTTTTCTATTTATTGTAATGGGGAAATCTTCCTGACACAGCTGTTAGAGTAGTAGAAGTTTGAAAAGTTGTTGTTATTACAAATGTCATAATGGAAAAACTTTACCAAAGAGGAAGGCTTGCAATGTATTCTGCAGGTTAAAAGACTCAGTCTGTCCTACCGACTAGGGAATTTGTTCTTCCTTCAGATTCCCTTGTCTGAGAACATGGAAATCTGTAAAGAACAAAAGTTGTGTTCTAATTGCCGATATGGGACCTGTGGAGTTTTAGCTGTGGAGAAGTCTATTGTTTTGCTAAGAGTTGCCTCAGAGAGATTCCATTTCATGTGAGAATATAAACAAGGACATGTAACATCAAGCCAGTAACAGAAATGCTTGTGGCAGTGCACCTTTTGGTTTGATGAGTAATAGTGTATGATATACTCTTTATTCATTCTGCAGTCATCTTTAGAACCCACATAAAGAATTAATGACCATGTAACCAAAAGAGACATTTCCTTCTGCTTAAAGATTAACAGATAGGTTATAATTTTATTTGAGATTTTAGTGTTCCTTACCAATGTCATGCAATTACAAGTTTCCAGAACTAAATCCATAATGAAAAAAAGTCTTTCAAAATACTGAATGGCATCCAGCATAACAGTGGATGAGGTCTCAATGACAGAGCACTGAACTATATCGTCCTGATTGCATTTTTGTATTACTTTCCTCTTCATAATTGAAAAGGTGAATACCAAACTGCAATGTTCTTCAAATATGTCAACTTCATAACCTTCCTAATTTCAACTGGTCTTGTAACAGGTTCCATCAATGGGGGACAGACTTGCTCTGTTTTCATTCATCAAAATGACCTGAGTGTTGGTAAATTCAAACTTTTTCCAACATTTTATTGAATTCGCTGTTTGTCACCTTAGCAACCCTAAAGGAATCCCTTTCTTCCAACTACTTTTCCAGTCTCCTCAAGTAACTATCTTGCATGACAGCTTCTGTAGGTAAGGAGGAAGCTGCCAAAAGGAGCTGCTCTCTGGTTAGGAAGAAAAAGTTGCTGGTTACTGCTCACTTAATTTGATCACTTTGTGTATATGTGGAAAGAATGGTTTGTGTGCTCATGTCCATTCTGAAGTTGTAGCTCTCTTTCACAGAAAACTCAACTCAGGTGGAAAGCATTACACACCTCTGATCATACTTGCCCTGCTTTATATCTTTTTCTGTTTCAATCTACTTATTTTTAGATGACTGTGATCAGTACTGATCACAGTACAAAGTGTGCATAAATAGGTACATGTAGTGGAATAATTACGCTTTTTGTTCCCCTTCTAAAAATGCTTAACAGTGATTGGCTTTTTTCACTGCAGTTGAGCACAGAGCTAATAGTTTCATGACACAGTCTGTCACAACATCAAGAGCTTTCCAGTGACGGTCATTTTGGAGACCTTCATTTTCTATATCAAGGGATAATTATTTTTTCAGTTGTGCACTTTGCATTTATCCACACTGAATTTAATTTGTCATTTTATTCTGCAGTTACACATCCTTCTTTTTCCTTTTCTTCCTTTCATCCTTCTGCAGTCTTTCATAGTCTAGTCTTTTCCTTACTATCTTGAATGACTTAACATCAGCAAACTTTGCCACCTCAATGCTCATCTCTTGTAAACATGTTGACTAGAACAGGTCCCAGGGGAACTCCACTGATTATGTCCCTCCACTGTGAGAATTGACCATTTGCTACTACCCTGTTCCCTGTCTTTTGTTCTATTATTTAGCATCATGTCAGGACTCTTCTTCAGTGACAGTCTGTTTTCCTAGAATGTTGATAGTGAGGGTCTTTGCCAATAGCTTTTTGGAAGCAGAGGCAGGCTGTCTTACCCAGATCTCCCTTATCTGAATACTTGTTAATGCCTTTGAAGGGCTCAAGGTTTGTAAAACAGGACTTCCTTTTACAGAAGACATTCTAAAAAGGCTTCTGTGCTGAAATGTCTTCAGTTTCTTTCACGGTGAAGTGAATATTTTGCACTGTTGCAAAGAATTAATTCCTCCTCTCTGAAATGTTCTTATCCTCTGTGAGTGCCCATTCTGTATCCCAATTATCAGCTAGTAGGAAGATTTAGCACAAAAGGAAAAGTTCACTTAATTTTGACTTACCTGATTTTAGTATTATATTTAGTTTTGCAAATTTGTAATTTTTTCTTCAGTTGGGTGCAGCCTCAGCTTTTGGAGGAATACTTGAACATTCTTTTATACCATTTAACCATTCCAGCTGACTTCCACAAACTTCCAAGCCTCTCCTATTTGTGTCTTTCACC